CTGATAAGCTCTTTAGCGCTCTCCACACCACAGCGCAAGATGTCGCCCACGGCAGCCTCCACCTCCGGGCCCGATAGTGCCACGGCGACCTCAGCAACGGCTGGGGACCAGTCCAACTCGTTCATCAGCGGACAAGATTACATAGGCTTCGACTTTGATGACGATGACGGCGAGGAACAAGCGCCACACGGTGCTGTGGACCAAAGTGGTCCCGGTCGAGGTAAGGTTGTCAATGGCCGCCACACAGCGGTTGCCGGTCCTTCGAAAGGTCCTGCTACGCTTGCCGCAGTTCAGAGGAATGGAGCATCGCGGGACTCAGAAAGGGGTGATCGTCTACGATCACGACCTGCTTCAGGCCCAGGCCGCATACAGCCGCAAGGCAGGAGGAGGACCTTTGAAGAAATGGCCATGGATGATGGCCTCACAAAGCGAGAGAGGATGAGAAGCATGGCTAGAGCCACCCCTTGGGCTCTGGATGTCGACTGGGACAGCTGTTGGCATCCCACGGAGATGTGAGTTGCTTGCAATCCGACTAGGCTAGAACTGGGGGCCTTTGCGGTAGTGGTATCCGCGAGCTCACCCCTCCGCTCTTCCTTTGCACTAGGCTACACCGCGAGCTGGAAGCTTTTGAGCGGTGGATCTCGCCGACGCCCTGGGAGCACGACTGTCGCGCAATGGTGATCCAATTGATAAGGAACGCGATCTGCTCGCAGTGGCGCGATGCCGAGGTGCTGTCGTTCGGAAGTCACGACACACGACTGTACATGCCTGAAGGGTGAGTGCTCTCCCACTCGCTGTTCGGACTGTCTCCAATACCTCTGGATCTCGAGCGTCTACTGATCACTTTCGATGATTCAACATCAGGGATATTGATCTGGTTGTGATAAGTCGCTCCATGGAGAATGAGCACCGTGCAAGAACCTTAAACAAGATTGCAGCGCTCTTACGCCGCGCGAACTTGGTCGTGGACCTGGCAGTCATTTCGAAAGCCAAAGTGCCCATCGTCAAATTCACTTGCGTCCACGCCAAGTACAAAGTCGACATCAGTATCAATCAAAGCAACGGTTTGGCTGCCGCAAAGTGGGTTTCCGCCTGGCTGAGAAAGCAGCCAAGCTTGAGACCACTCATTCTAGCGGTGAAGCTGCTTCTCAATCAGAGGGGTATGAGCGAGGTATTCAATGGCGGACTGGGCAGCTACAGCGTCATCTGCCTCGTGATCAGTCATTTGCAGGTAAGCCGACATTTGAGGCTCCAATTTTGCGTGACCAATCAGTAGCTCACGTTGCAAGCGCACGATGTGATACGCAGATGCATCCCAAGGTGCAACGAGGAGAATTGGACCCTGCGAAGAATCTGGGTGTCCTATTGCTCGAATTTCTGGAGCTATACGGCAAGACCTTCAACTACCACACGGTCGGCATCTCTGTGCGCGGTCAGGGTCACTATTTTGAAAAGAAAAGGCATGCATTTGTCAGCACCGGCAAACCTTACATGCTGGCCATTGAAGACCCTTTGGACGCATGTGAGTGACGACTGACAGTTGCAGCTCGAGCATGCATTGCGAAGTCACTGAAAGGCGCTAGTCTGCTACCTGGTTGCATCGTAAGCAAATGACATTTCGCGCGGCACATTTCAAATTCAGGCGGTCCGGCTAGCCATGAAGGGCGCATTTGATATTCTGTCGGGTGCCCTGTGTCAGCGCGCCAACGTCATGTCGGACCCAAACGCCCAGGATGGAGCACAGCTTGCTCCTGTTGACGACGAGGATGACGAAGCTAGAGCTGCTCTAATGCAGAACGCAGCGGTGGGGGCACCGGTCAGCCATCCCCACAGTCTTCTGGGAACCATTTTTGGCATTTCGCATGAAACTACTAGGGCAAGAGAAAAGGTCAGTGGTGACGAAGAGGCACACCGCAAGCGGAAATGCGGTTACATTGTTTCATCAGTTGACCAACCCTTCTTGGCCCTGATGCAGATCGAAGCCATGTATCACTCCGGCGAGTTGCATTATAAGCTCGGCAGACCGCCTCCGCCGCCAGAGGATCCACGCCCTGCTTCTCCGCTACCGCCCAGATCTCGACCACCGCCTGATGACGCTCTCCCGCATCCCTCACGGTCCATACCTGCTCCTCCACACCGAGGAACTGAAGAGCGCTCTCAAAGGCCAGCAGGGACAAGCGCAGGAGTCAAGCGGGATGGTAAAGCATTCGCTAACTCGCAACCTCGGAAAGCGCCGTCGCAATCTAGCCGAGACGGCCAAGGCACCACAGCAGGATCTTCCACTGCCTATGGCACGCTTCGACAGGGCACAAGGGACGCGCCAATTGTCATTTTAGACGGGCCAAGTGAAGTGTCCTCAGACTTCGAGGATCGGATGCGAAGTGCTGTGGATGCCGCCAATCATCTGACGTCACGCGCATCGAAAGGACCCGCCGCACTATCGAGGGGAGATGGAGACACCAGCGAGGAAGAGGAGCTTTCTGCAGTCGATGAAGCAGAGCTGGCAGAATCTCAAGGCTTTAGCTTTGGATCTCAAAGCGGAGCGAGACAGGGCTCGAGCTTCAACGACCAGTCTGGAGCAAAGCGGCGTCGCGTTGCCACAGATGAGTCCGCGTCACGATCGCAAAGACGTCAGGCGGAAGGTGACGATGAGCAAGACTCCCGTTACGCAGAGCACAGAACCAAGGGGCTGCGAAAGCTTCATCAGGCCTCGCGAGCAGACCGACGGGAATACGTGGAGAGAAACAGCGAGAGCGACTCGGACGCTTCGATGCATTCTTTGGATGAGCACCCAACATCGCAATCGCGAGCGAGACTAACAACTTCCATCCCACAAAGAGGCATCTCTATAGCTGGAACAGCGGAAGGGACCGCACCAGCTGCGTCGGTGACAACGACCTCGATTAAAGGTGGACATAGGATCGCACAGATGCGGGACAAAGCTGCACAGAAAAGGCAGGTGGCGGACTATTGGGCTGCGAAAGCTCAGGGAAGCAACGTCGTCAGCGAAGAGAGCGAGGAGGGAGAAGTACACGAGTAGGCTCACAAGATCGAGCGCAGCTCTTGTTGCGACTTTCGATACCGTTTGCTGCTTGGCACTGCTGCCAACGCACGCTGGCCGAGTCCTTGCCCACTACCTTGAAGCACTGTGCTCCGGTCCTCAGCAGCGCGTTCCTGTACACTACGATGAGCCAACACAGCCAATGTAGAAGAGCTAATCACCCACACTGTAACATGCCAAACCAATCAAAGTCGATACCTGAGCCGTTATATTCTGATCGTCTGTTGTACACTGAGCGAAGTGATTGCTTACTACGTGAAACTTCCAAGCGACGGGAAGCGTCAAGACCAGACGCATCATCATCACAATGCATGAACGGAAAGGCGGTAATGAGAGCCCCGGGACCCGGGTGCAGTTCGTAAAGTCTGCCCATGCGTATGCCTAGACCAGGTTTCGGACTGCGCGGTCCTATGATCTCAATGTCTCATCCTCTGCCTGTCCGTGCGGACCAGGGCCATAACGGCCATCGGTACGGCCAGTTGCTCTTTCTTGTTCCTCGTACGCAGCTCTTCTCTCCTCCTCTTCCGCCCTGTCTTGTTGCTCCACCACCAAGGCCCACACGCTAGCTTTGAAGAGCGTGAGGACGAGTCCCATCTTGCGTTCCAAGACTCGCAGTTGCATCAGCAGATCGGCGTGTTTTGCGTTTGAAGAGAGCGGATAGGAGAGAGCTGTGATCTGTTGGTCGATGGGAGCAGCAGAGAAAGCGAGCTCAGCTCATCGTTCTTGCTTCTGTCTCCCATCGCAATGCGCCGCGTCGTTGAAGTGATCCGTACTCGTGACACACTCGTGGCGAATTGTATGCGGCCAATTGCACGCAAGTCGTCTGACCTCTTGGCACGGTCAGCACTATTATCGACGTCACTCCCCCCGCCCGCGCGCATCTCCCAGTCCCTCCGTGTATCCGGTCTCCAAACCCCCCACCCCTTCGAGCCACCCCTCTCTCCACGCGTCTCGCCACCTCGCTGTATCTCAGCGCCGTCATCAACATCCTCATTCTCTCTGGCCTTCGTG